TTTTCTCCCCAAAGCCCCAGTAGATAGTTGTATGTCATAGTTGCACATCCTTCTAGTTGCTGTATGTGGGACGCAGCCTCAGCATGGCCGGAGAAGCAGTGTGTCGGTGCATGCCCAGCATCCAAACCCAGGCCACCAGTAGCGGAGCACGCGCACTTAACCGCTAAGCCACGGGGCTGGCCCCCGAGAGTCTTGATATTCTTGACATTCCCCAAAACATCCCACTGGTCCACAACACTGTCACCACTGTGCTGAGTGGATCTGGTGGTTGGGATGTAGCAAGTACTTGAGACCTTAGATGTACGCGAACAAGAGAGTGGGAGACCAGCCCACTCGATAGGGTTCTCTCAGGAGAAACCACACAGTGACCTGAACGGGAAAGGTGAATATAAGGAACTGTTAACTGTGATGGGACTGTAGGAGAGAGAAGTAAACAATCGAGGAATGGCAGACATAAGGATCAGCTCCTGCTCCTACTCCTATGACTGAGGCAGGGCACCCAAGACGGCGTCTTCCCAATCCAACCCCAGGGCTCAGATCCAGACCTTTTTGTAGAGGGCACAGCCATGGCTCACTGCATGGGGCCACACTGGTGGAACTTGCCAGAAACCCACCCTCCAGGGTGCTGGGGACAGCTGTTCACATGAGGTGACTCACAGGAGGCACTCTGCTTCAAAAAACTCCTGTGAGGGATGCCAGGAGCAGCTGCAGCATCCCTCCAGCCCCCTCTGTGGACAGAGCTTAATCTTTGGGCTGGTGAAGGGAAACTGTTGAAAGGGCCCAGATCATTTTCACAGGGCAGGCCAGAGGGTGAACTTGGAGCCGAGAGGCAATAAGGCAGTAGCTGGCACAGAGGATACACCGGAAATGAATGTGGGCACGTCATTCCATCTTTCCTTTATGAAAACATGAATAAATATGCATGTATTGTCATGTCCTCGCCCCTTTCCCTCCTGCTTTCTCTTACAAGGTGGCGTGCTGTGTGCTTTGCTGCCTTCACTTGGCGTGTTCTGGTCAGCACGCATAGCCACCCAGCTGCCTGACACCTTCCTGCAGGGTGTCCCACAGCTTATTCAGTGAGGCCCTATCCAAAGGCACATGGCTCCTCTTTTGCTATTAAAAGTACTCTTGCAATAAGTATCCTATGTCTGTGTCATTTTGTATTTTTGCCAGTATATCTTAGGGATAGAAGTGGGATTACCAGGTCAGAGGGTGAATGCATAATCAGTTCTGCTGGATGTTGCCAAATGGTCTTCCTGAGGTTGTCCATCTTGAGGTGGACCCGCGGTGTATGTCCCGAGGTTGTCCATCCTGACGTGGACCAGCAGTGTATGTCCCGAGGTTGTCCATCCTGACGTGGACCAGCAGTGTATGTCCCGAGG